GGATCATATCACTGTCTTTTGGGGTCAAAAGGAACTGTAATGGATTGCGCCGCGATGCGTGATATCAGCGGTACAACAGCTACCAGACCATCAATCATCACAACAAAGAGTAAAACGTGTTATCGGCCCTTCATTTTTTTTTATAGCCCTCGCCACTCTATCTGGAATTATTATTGTGAGCTTATTTTATATTTTATTTCATAATTATTAATTTAAATGTTCGTTCACCATAAATCTAATAGAGTTGACTCTCCGTAACGACCTTAATGTACCATATGTTTCCGGTTTAGACCAATCCAGATACCTATCCTTCCATAATAAACTTCTGAACCATCCGAACCCTCTTGTTTCCTATCTTGCTTCTTCATCTATCCCTGATAACCCTCATAGCCGTCTGAAAAGAAGATGACCTCTGGACCTTCTAATATAGACCTTTAATTTGAGTTCTACCAATAGGTAGTTTCTCTTCATGTTGTACATGTCATGTCACCAATGCCACATTTACTTGTTTTTTTTTCATGTAATACAGATGTAAACTTCATTTTAAAAAACACAGAAAAAACAGCGATCTATTTAAGGAAAACAGGAGGGGTTGCGGTCAAATCTAATAGAGTTGACTATCGATAATTCGAATTTTTCGATAATTCAAAACTCTTCAGCTGTTAATTCGATAAATATAAAAAATATTGAATTTTAATAAACTCGATAACTCGAGATCCTTTCGTAACAAGAGAGAGGGAGAACGTACTATTATTCGGAATAGAGCTCTTTCTCACTTTATAATTCGAAATTTTCCAAGGAATATTTTTTACACGAGGCTGTGTATAAATAAAATTTACCTAAGCTGATACAAATTTCCAAAAATGTAATAAAAACTTCAGTTGCATATTAAATATTAAACCAAACTTATTATATTGGATTGACTTATCAATATTTTGGGAGAGTAAAATATTGCTTGGGAGGTGGCAGAGATTCCTCGAACGCTCAAATAAATAATAAACAGAAGTAATTTTTGATTTTTATTATTCTGACCTGGGAAGCATAAACTGTGAAGTAAAAATGTACATTATCATATAAAGGTCAAACATTTTAAATACTATGGAAAATAAAAACTCTTAATAATTCAATTTTTTTACTTTCCTCTTGATAATTAAAACATAGTAATTAGTGTTCCCAAATGCGAGACCGAGACAAGTCTTGGTCTTGCAAACTCAGTCTTGGTCATGGTCTTGCGCAAGAGTCTCGCAGTTACTTATTAGCTTATTACTATAGAAATATTACTGTAATTTTTTTAGATAGGAGAAACCTAACTAAGTCTGAATGAAAAATTAGAGGAGTTAAATGCAAAAGTATATTCGTTACACCAATTATTAATATATCGTAACTAAGATTGTCAAGTATTAGTAACTATTTTGCCTTAATTTTTATTTAAAAAATCAATTTTGTTTACTAGTCCTGGTCTCGGTCTTGCAACAGTTAGGTGGCATTGGTCTTGGTCTTGCAAAGTGCAAGACCAAGACCGATTTTGGGCAACACTGATCGTAATAATTCAAATTTTCCTGTAATCCCTTGGATTTCGAATTATCAAGAATTGACTGTGGTACGATTTTTCTTTTCGGAGCCTTAAGGCCCCTAGACAAAGAGTGCGATATGTCTCGGCGATACGATATTTCTATCGGTGGTGATTTTTGGTTGGTGAAAATCATATTACTATCTATTGCATTATAGCAGCAATACCGACAAAGGATATCGTGTCTCCAGAAGATATCGCGTTCTATGTGTTGGAGCCTATAAAGGGATAAAAAACTAGAAATCTAATTTATTAAAAATTATTATTTGTCATTTTTGTGCCCCCTTGAGTCGGCACCATGAATGACCGCCGTTCCATTCCCCCCTCTCCTTACCACCTCTCCGGTTATGCGGGTTGTTAAGAGCGATAATTACTTTTATGTACTGGTATACGATACGGCATTGCTAATATAGGTGAAAAATAAATTTTCCACAATAATTTTAAGTGTAATATTTTAGCACAGGAATATATATATGTAAATGTAAAATGTTTAATTTGAGTGATGTAAATTAACAGAAAACCTTTACACGAGGAGTGCATTATATCCTGATTTTTTTTGCTTGATTTTTTGAAGAGAAAACTTTTTTAGCACTTTTTGTGTGGGTAGTGAATGAGATTGAGCCGTCACGCTGGGCTATGTTACGCAGATTCCGGTAAAGTCGGATCGAGTAGACTAATTGAGGTGTTTTTGCATTTGGATTAAAATATTTCAAAAATTAAAAATCGAACCTGCATACTGTAAGCATTTCATCCTCTTTGTAATGAGCTATAATTCAAAATTGTATCTTGAAATGACGCCGCGCAATGGTTGAAAATCGTTGCCCTGGAAATCCCGATCTGTAAGCAACAGAAAAAAAGGTTTGATACTATCTTAATCACAACTAAATTTGATATAAAATATTAAGGTGTTGCTATAAAAAAAATGATCGTTTTCAATCACATATTAGTATTATTATTTCTTTGATATAAAATACAATTAATACTCAAAGTATAGTTCATTGTTATCTACCGTCATTAGCCATCTTCTAGCCAGTTGCTCGATCCCACGCTGATACCATTCTTTGGTATGGCTGTCTAAGAACTCTTGGACCGCAATTCCAACCTCCGCAAAATTATCAATTTATTTCTCTTGAAGAAAATGAGCCACAGATCTAAATAAGTAGTAATCCTATGGTACGAGGTCTGGACTATATGAGATAGGACTTTTTTTAACCTCACAAATTTATAACCTCTTAGCTCATAGCTGAGGAGTAAGTTCGTGAGGGACCAATCTACTGCTCTTTTTCACCTTCCCCATGGAGAGTAGATGGCGACTAACAGTATCTTTCGACACACCACACTCCCTGGCAAGTTCGCGAGTACTTTTGGACGGATTGGACTCAACAGCTTCCTGCAGAACCTCATCAATATCCATAGATGGTCGCCTGGAGTCCTTCTTCCTTTCCAACGTCGTATCTCCACTGCTAAATTTCTCAGTGCGCTGGCCAAGGACACCTTCCCTTTCATATTTAATAATTTAACGAGTTGCTTTAGCGGCTGTGAATTTTTTTTTTCCCGTAATACCTTAAAATTACGAGAATTTCGTGGTACACTGTCGTGTTTTTTCTTCGGAACAAATAACTAAACTAAAGCTTTTTTTGAAGAACTCGAATGGGATTAAACAAGCTTAGAGAATACTCTAAAGGGATTATTAAGTATTTAATGGGATTAAGATATTTACAGTCCTTTGAAATCTTGAATTTGATAAAACGGTCATTTTTTTTTTGTAGATACAGTTGAAGCCCGGATTAAAAGGTGATAAAAGAGGAAAACGGAAAAGAAATATTTTTTTTCTTTTTGAATACGGTAGTTTCAGCAAACCAAATTTTTGCAAACAAATGAGATTATGGTTTTTATTGGAACGAATATTGATCTACACACTTATATTAAGATAATTAATGTGGTAGTGAAATTTTGAAGGTAAAATTTACAGAGTAGGAAATAGCGAAAACCTTGGTATACTGTTCACTTTTTTTTAATGAATAATAAGTATATTTTCATAATTAATTTACTAAAATAGATGTCAGGTCACAAGAAAAAGAAGGACTTAGAAGTTAATAATAATTTTTCGGTTGTTATTTTTGCTGTAACTACGGATACTCTGGAGAGAAAGAACATCAAACCACATAATTTTTCGTCCAAATATATTTTGAGCCCAAAATAAAACTCTATTCCAAAAACCAACCTTAAATAAATTGATATAAAAATCAATTTATTTCTTGTACTTCTTTTTTAATTACCTATTATTATGTAAATATTTAATTTAATTTATGGCCGTACTGTCACGTTTTATTTATTTTGTATTTATAATACATTCTACAGGGTCATCATTCGCAGGATAATAAAATTATAAATCATTTCATTTACAATTTATATAAACAGACCAAAATTTAATATGTAAAATAAAAAAAATTTTTTTTTTTCCAATTTAAACTTCCTTCCTATTTACAAGATTCGTGACTTTTTATTTGCATATATTTCACCAAAGCCTTTTAATTTTTATCAGTTAAAAAACAAATGTTTTTTTCCCAAATAACTATAAGGTTTGAGAATGTTACTTTTTTTTCAATAAAAAGTTCTTTTTTAATTTAAAGAAAAAAAATTAAAAGAATTAATTGAAGAATCGATTCAGTTAAAAAAAAAAAATCGAATTTTCTATCTCTAGTGAATATGCAAGTGAATAAGGTGCCTATTTATATTATCGGATTTGTATTAATAAAAAAAAATTATGTAGACCGGGAAAGAATCTCATATCCAATGTAATACATGTTTCAAAGTTCCCTGAGCCAAAAAAATAAAAATTCTTGCTAAATGATTTTATGGACTGTGTATATGCCGAGGATGTTACATCAGCTTTTTCTTCAAAATCCGCGGAGGTGTCTCTTAATATCATCAACTTCACACATTTTACATTTTTTTCGAAATCGATCGAACGATTTTTTTTCGAACGAATTTGATTCGAAGGTTGCTCTTATACATCACTGGTCTAGTCTGACAGAGCTTAAATTCCTAGTTTTAAATATTTCTATCTATAAACTACCTTCAATGCGGTTTATTGAAAATAACTAACGATATTAAGATATGGCTAAATATATCCTATGAAAAGAAAAATATAAAAGAGAAAACGTGACCATTTTAAGAAAAGACAAAATTGAACTTAAATCCTGTTCTGTTCAAAATCGGTCCATACATCAAATGAATTTTTGTTGGAAATCGTGCCTGAAATCATCTTCCAGTGTTTGGTCTTTGAGAACTGAGGCATTCTCTACATTGTTATATTATAGCGATGTTATATTGTTTATAGATCATATTATTATTCCACCTTGTTGATATTTTCACTTCTGTCATGTGGTCTTAAGCACACCGTATTTTTTTTTTTTTTTTTTTTGCAGGTGGAAGTGATGACCGACATGGACATCGTCAGTTTGAGTGAGGACGACATTGAATTTCAAAACCAGAACAATGTTACAGCGGGAGCCTACATAACAGGTATACATAGATTAAAAAATTGATCTCTTATCAATGAAAAAATATATAATGAAAATAAATGTACTTACGTTACTTGAAGCAAAACGAACCGGGAATCTTTAGTTCCGGAAACTACATACTACATGAAACTATATGAAATAGGGAAAGTATTGTGATAGTGTAAATCTTTTCTCCGAATTTTCTAAGGAAATATACGTTTTGAGGTCCCCTGAGTCCAAATAACTAAGTCTCGAAAATAGATAAATATGATTGTGGCTGATCATTAAGTAAAGGGAGGATGGGAAAGATAGTTTCTGGGGTTGAAATCCAATTTCCGGAAATAAGAGTGGTAAAATAGATGAAGATAGACAAAGGTGGAGATGGCTAGTCAAGGCGAAAAAATATTAACAAGATCTGTGATGCAAACAGAAAAAAAAAAAAAAAAAAAAAAAAAAAAAAAAAATATATATATATATATATATATATATATATATATATATATATATATATAAGGTAGGATGAGGTAATGGAGAGTGATGGAAAGTTAATAATTCTTAATTTTTGTAATTAAAAAGCCCAAGTTTTATGTTTTTAAAACTTTCCATATTAACTAAATGTAGTTCCCATAAAAAATATATAGAAAACCCAACTTTTTTTCAAGTTGATAAACTATATATATTTTTTTTCTGCTCGGAATTGTCACAATTTATCTTAATTGTCTTATTTTATGTTTTTTTTTTAAATTTATTTTAATTGAATATTAACACAATCTGGCACACTCAAGGGCAAAAAGTATCCACCTATACAGTATATACATAAAAGAAAAATAATTAAGAACAAATTAAAAAAATAAAATAAAATCATAAATAAACTAAACAAAATATAAATATTTTTTAAATAATAATGAAAACAAAATATAAAATAATATTAAGTAGTTGTAAAGAAAAATATAAGACTTCACAAATTAAAGGATATGAAGGTAATGATGACAAAATCTGTGGATAACAAACATAGTTAAAATGTAAATACAAAAATTAAGATTAAATAAATAAATAAAATTCTTCAAAACTCATTCACGCCTATAAACAATGTTTACATTTGCCCAAGAGACTCCAAGCCAGACTTTGTCTTTTAAGTGTGGAAGACAAAGTTAGGCACAAGGAAGTCCCAGAGCTTCTCTCTAGGCCGCGACATTGGACTGGGAGCCAGTGGAGAATGAGTGAGCGCACTTTAGTCACACTTATCTATGCATTGAGAGGGGAAGCTGGCCATTGCTAGTTCTCCTATTTTATGTATTTAATCATTGTATTTCCAATATTCAAGTCTCTGACTGTCTTCAATTTGAGCGCTAATAGTCGACTGAATTAAATATCTAATGCTAACGAAATGTATTAATAAAGGAAATAATGTATACAGGGAAAGGATATCGAATCTAATGTTATACATATTTCGAAGTTCCATGAGCAAAAAATAAATAAATGAAGTTAACATGTAAATCATGGTACATTTTTTTAAAGGAAAAGTTCTTCAGCAGCGCTGGGGTAACTGGATACTGACCCAGAATATATTAGTATAATTTAAGGGGTGCATCTTATTATGAATATAATTAATAAATGAATAACATAATAAATAAAAAGGCTTGAGGAACCCGACGTTCTATGTCGATTTAAAATATAATTACAATATATATTCATAAAAATGCTTATAATTTAAATATTTAATTATAATGGTTGAGTTCATATATCACTATAATTATTGTTCGCGTGACAGATTATCATATTTCTGAATAAATAAAAAAAATTATAATGGTATTTTAATAGTTTAAATACTTACCATTCTATTTTAGGTACGACACATGTGGAAATTTTATAGTCCTGTTATAACCTTCATTATTTTCCATCCGTAGTCAGGAGCAGTATAGGATTAAGGATTTATTTTTAAATTTTTTTTTTTAACAGTATTACTCTGGAAGAAAATTTAGAAAGTATTACAACAATCTGTCTCTTGGACATTAGTTATAGTGGTGTAGGATAACATTCACACTATATGTACAAAAAATATAAAATAAATAGAAGCAAAATAACAATCAAAAGTATATACAATAAATAATAAAATTAAATAACCTAAAAATAAGAAAATTAAAACTAAGCAAAAAACACATGCATACACTATTTACAATCAGGCGAGGGAACTCCAGGAGAACCCTGCGCTACTCTCTCAACCGCATCACTGGTACTAAAGCCAGCGGAGATTGATCGAGAGCACTTTAGCCACTCAAAAATAAAGAAACTATATGAAATGGTGGTTTTGAAATTTGAAGTAGTTCTTAAAGGCAGAAAAAAAAATTGAAAACGGTAATTATTGAAACAATACTGCTATTAGGGATAATTTTTTTTTCTTATATTAAAGTGCTTACTTGACACTACAACAACAACAACAATAGTAGTTGTATATTAGTTATAATAAAAAAACTGTTGTGATTGTTTAAGTTTTATTAAGCTGAGATCACTCACAGAAACAAATATGTAACAAAAGTTGTGAATTTAGTTTAAATGGTCGCCATGTAACCATATTTAAATAATAATGAATGTTTGTAACTTTTGAACAGAGCTGAAGTGAAATATTATATTGACATGGAAGGTTTTACATTTAAATTAAAACTAAATCAGTTATGTGGGAATTTTATAGTATATATTGATGGCATTATCGATATGGCTGCCGACCTTTATCATTAGCTCTACAAATATAGGTATTTGTGAAGAGTTCACAATTTCCACAGAAATTAGTAATAATCTGTTAGATAGCTGCCGACATTTATCATTAGCCCTGCAAATATAGATATTTGTGAAGGGTTCACAACTCTTGGTTTCCACAGAATTTATAGATAATAAGTTTAAGATAGAAACTTCTCAGATGAAGGGACCACCACATCTAATCATTGATCTTTCAAAACTTGACCCTTTCCCTTTTTGACGTCATCATCGAGCCCCTTTTAAACGCCTACCCCTAAATTGTCGAAGCCAGTTCAAATCTAGTCACACATATTTCGGCAGCTGTCCACGGAAACTATTACCAAACCATTGTAAGTCATATTCCAATACTTTTGTAACCTCTATTCAATCAATAACTATTTTAACTTTAACTTTGATACAACACAAGACTAAGGGTTCCCTTTGAGATTCAGCTCTTTGGATGTGAACATTAGCAGTTATATCAAGATAGAGGAAATTCAGGGTGGAATAAACTAGATAAGTTTTAATCACCTAAATAAAGATCATTTTAGTCAAACTGTATTCTTTTTAATTATCCTCAAATTATTTATAGGATTAGGAAGAGCCTTAACTCTTCACCCTGGTGTCAGCAATTATACGTTTGTCATTGGAATTTAACCTTTTCCCTGTCCTAATACGACAGTAAAATTTACAGTGTACAGCTGAAAACCATACACTGTAAAGTATATTATCCTAATTTTTATAGTCATGTATGTGCATAGAGCATTCATTTCTGTTATAATATTTTAAACTGATCTTTACTGTTTCAAATCGTCATGAAGACATCAAGGTAGATCTAGATTACATGATAGGTCTGTTTTTTGTCTGGTCATGTTAGATTACATTTCCAACAAAACAACTTAACAAACCAGACTAAACAATTTTGCCTGGAGGTGTAGATGCAATTAAATAAAACAATTTAACTATTTGAAGAATGAATTTTAAAGACTGTAGGCATATAACAGCGTATATAAAGGTGGGCCAAGATTATTAGTGCTGTTTTTTTTTTTTTGTAAAATAAGTAACCAAATCCTTAATTTAATGCTCTTCTAGTGACGGGGTTGAGAGAGGAGTGCAGGGAACTCCTGGAGTCATACTTTTCCCTCCACAGTTGGAGGGACAAGTCTGGTTTGGAGTTCTCTTGCCAAATTGTAGATATTGTATATAGGTGTGTATGTGTTCTTTTTATTTATTTATTTTTAGGTTATTTTATTCTTATTTATATTATTTTTCTGTATAATTTATTTTATTTATTGTACATAGAGTGTGAATGTGATCTGTGAACTATATTATAAATATCCTAGAGACAGATTGTAATATTTTTCAATAAATAAGTTTTAAAAAAAAATTTAATGCTCTACTAAAATCAAATTACTTTCAAAACATTACTCCTATAATAAGATATGTCTCCTAACACCTCCATTTTTTTTATTCTTCTTTTTATTATATAATTGTAGCCATTTATACTACTTTTATAATTCTCTGAAATATTTCGAGGAAGTAAAAGCTTCAGTAAAAAGCCCCTCCCCTCCCCCCATGTCGATCCGCTAGTGTCCGAAAATATATTACCTCTACTTATAGTAAGTATGGACGAGAAGAATTTAACTACAAAGTGTATTTTGTCTTTACTACATTCCCGAAAAGGGAGGTTCTCTTGATTTGTTGTTAATCCTGTAAAGAGATTAGCAAAAAGGTTTGCAGAGTTTCTCACAGGGAGCTGGGCTATAAGTGCGCTGCGTTAAGCTGTTCCTTTAAAAAGGGCTTCTCATGTGAAAATGTTTCCAACTCGCTCATGTGTAATAACGATCCCTCCTAAAACAACTCCGTTATAAAAAATTACCGGCAGTAAAAAAAAAGGAAAGATGTAAAAAGGAGTGGTGCCAAATGGGCAGCCGTGCAAGATAAAGATACTTGGTGCTTTGTGCATCGGTTTAAGGAATCGTGAATAACAGGAATGTCTTCCTCGGCGCTTCGCTCTTAGAGTTAGTTAGGAACATGTTCAGCTGAGGAATAACGATCGTTAATGATTCTATTGGTACAAGATTTAGACATAAATATGGCTAAAAAATAAAAAAATACAATTGAAAAAACACTTGTTAAAAAGATAATATAATTTTCTAATCATATCATTCAGGTTCGGCGCCATTTTCTCATAAATTATTATAAAATATTAGGCCAAAGGTCACCAAACGTAACAGTTTTTACATCCTGTATTATTTATTCGACGTTTCGGCTTCAGGAGCCATTTTC